CTCTACTACAGTTGGGCTTTGTTTCTTTCAACTTAATGTGGCTTTGTATTTTATTTTGTAGTGACAAGGGAAGGAGCTGAATGTGGTCGAGGTTTAATTCCTTCCATCACTCAGCTCAACTAAATGATGAGATACCAAGAGCCTGAAAGACCCTCTATCAAAGCTGGGTTTGAGCTTTGTGTGGCAGAGATAATATTTAAAATGATAGCAGAGGCAAGTGGACTGAAGAAGCCTCCACTGGCCAGATGATCAATTCATTTAAATCTGAACTCGTTTAACACACAGAGAAATGTGTGCAATAAAAATTGTGAAGGGGCAAACGGCCAGGAAATCACACCAGTGCTTGTGCCTGCGCGGGCACATGCACGGGCTCTTCCAGCCTCCTTTCACACGTTGCACTCAAGGCAAATCCCGCTCTCTCGGTGGAAGTGCTAATTAAAAAACCCACAGGGCAGCCAAAAAAAGGAGCACAGCAGCATGGTGGTCTGGATACTTACAGGGCAGGCCGCGGCGCGTGAGGGCGCGGACAGGAAGCAGCAGCCTGGGGGACGCCTGTGCGTGCGGCGCAGGGAGAAACAGGAGCCCTCGCCCCGCTGACGAGCACCGTTTACTGCAACACAAACCCACCGGCAGCCCTGGGAATGCTTCCAACCAGACCAGGAAGGAGAAAAGGCCTCCACAGGGGTATTTTTAAAGGTTCTCCTTAAACAGGCTGAAAATGATAGCCTGCTCAGCCTCACAGGCTGAGGTCAGCAGAACAAAAACTTAGCAAAGAAAAAGGTATTTTTGTAATTACATGTTGTCCAAAAAAGCAGATAAACAAATGCAAAACTGGCGTATACTGATGGCTTTTCAGTCACCCCAGGCATCTTGCAGAGCAGAGTTTCACACAGGTTAGGACAATCCTGAGGCAGTATGGGGAAGGTGCAGGATGGAGATAGTTGATCAAAACAAACAAGTCACCAGTTGTGTGCCTGTTTTTAAGTACACAAGTACCCACTGGTTCACGGTTGCTGAGGACCTGCCTCCCAAACCGGCTCCCTGGGAGAGGGCAGCACCGAGCACCTCAACAAAACAGACCCGGATGAGATTGTCATGCGCTCTGAAGCACCAGTTTTAGACAGAGAAAGGGGGCAAGACACATGACTAAGTATCACTTATCTGCACACGTCAGAAATCAAAGTCCCACGTGGATGTGAGACTACCTAGGTGGATGACAGATAAAAAGGCATGAACATGAAAAGCAAGGCTACTGCTCATACAAATGCACAAATTTTTGCTCTTGTTATTACAATTACTTGTGGGAATGCAGAGCAATTACAGAGGCTTTCCCCCCCACCACCCCTCAATATCTGTAAGTTGTCCTTTCTACCTCTCCAGAGCTGAAATAAGAAAAAAATAAAATCAAATGTGCCCTAAAATTGGACACATATTCCTTTATCCCTTGGGAATGCAAGTAACTGGTCTGAGAAGGGTCTTGCAGGCAAGCTCTCTCTAACGTCAGTGACCTGCTAGCCAATGTCAGCTACCAGCCTCCATCTAGTGGCAGAAGGATATTATGCACCAGCACTATGAGGTTCACACCTTGGCATCCCGGGAGAACAGTCAGGGTAACACCATATACCTTTATGTACCAGTATATTAGCAAATGTATCAGCACAACATGCAAAGGAGCATGAGTGTCTGACATACAAACATGACTGTCTCACAAGCACACATATTAGTTTAGCTAAACAAAATGCTTGATCTATGTTCATGAAGTGAGCTATAAATATGGTTTCCACTGAAATGAGGGATATGAATCTGAAAAAGAAGGAGTGTCTGCATCATAAACTGCAAGATTTAATCAAAAATCTAAGGCCTGTCAATATTCTTTAGAAAACCCATAAGCTGTACAGAAGCAGACAGGTTTCACAGTGAGTTTCAGCAACAGCACCATCCATTTTGTCATCTCTTGTAGATGAAAAGGCAAGCCATCGTGCCACCTGCTCAACATAATTATGCCAAAACCAGATTATTTCTGTGCACTAAAGCTTTGATTAACTTGGATTTTAAGTCAATTAATCAGAAGTACCATTATGAAACCAGATGGCAAGCGGGACCTTCCTCCCCCCCCCCCCCCATTTAATGTATACTATATGATCAAACATTAATAATAATTAAGAAATACGAAAAATAATCTGAAAGTTCAAAGCTGTATCAATCAGGGTCACATACGAACGGCTCAATTAGTTCTCAATCAGGCTTCGAACAGTAGCTAGAACTGTATAGGAAAGTACATTGAAGAGGACCATGATGAGGCTACGCAGCTGCCTGAGGTGCTTGGCTGTAGATCACCACCATCTGTACTGCTTCCACGTCCCCAGCCTGCTAGCAACTGCTTTCAATTACACAGCTATTTTAAAGACTCTTTCAAACCAACACTTCTGGACTCCAGAGCGCTGCTTTTAGACATCTCTAGGCACTGCCTGCTGACAGTGTTCCTGAGCAATACCTGCAGCAGCCTGCTCCAAGGAATCACAGAAGGGCACCCTACCTGCTGTGAAATGCCTTAACCAATTCATGCACTGAAGAGGAATATTTTGCAGGACGTGGGCAGAGCTAAATGTGCACAGCTGATGGGCATTTCCATTTATTTCTGTCAATAGTGGCATTCACAGAGGCAGGAAGCAATACAATACGTGAAAGGCTAGCCTTTTGTAAACAGAGTTCTACTTTTGATCAAGGCATTTATTAAGCCTCAAAAATAATCAACACTAACAAAACGCACAAGGCAACCTTTGTGGTTAAGGCCATCAGAGGACAAGCTACTGAACAGATATTTGAAATGTTACTGCATTATAAAGCCAAAACCGAAAAAAAAAGACCATTAGCTACTGGCCTATAAGAAAATGTCACTTTTGCAGCATTCTTCCTGTGAAGTGAGGCATTTCCCTATTATTAGGGGAAAGCAAGACTTTAACATTAATAGTGGATATTCCCCAGCTGCTCTTCTTGGTGAGATTTAATACACCTTATATTTTAGGAAACCAAGAAACATTTCAAGAAACTTGTGAAAAGACACATAGATGTGGGGAGAAACCCTAATTCTTCGAGTTTTAAAACACAGCTGCCTAAAAGTGGGATGCAGTTCCTTCAACAAATAACACCCAGCCTGAGACCTAAGACAGGCACCCTGGACACAGATGGCTTGAACACCACTAACTGAAATTGCAGTGTCAACACACAAAACCAAAAGGTCTAACATTTACTAACTAACGTACCAGAATATTCAAAAATCCTAAGATTTTTTAGTGTAGAGCAACACTCAGCTACTGAAGTTCACAATGGCAATGTTTAAAGTTTTTGTTTTTTAAACTGTCCACAGTCTAATTCAATCTTTTGGACATCCAGCTTCAGATAATTTAATTCAAAAGGTATTTTAAGAGAGATATAGACAGCTGATTTTATTTAAAGCACCTTTAAAAATCTGTTCCTCCTAGGACAAGGACACAGTCTTGTTTATTAGGTTCAATTGAGAAAAGGCTACAAGGAGTATCCAACGGGCCCAAAGAGCCTGGCTTGGAGGTGTACCAGTAAATAATACACTAACAGTTCTGATCACTATCTGCCCCAGTATTCATTTTCCTTTTTTCAGCCACCTCAAGGAGATTAAATTGCCTCTATACTCAAAACATTGCTTCTATACCCCAGCCCTTGCACTAGCTACCAGTTAGCCACAAATCCCAACCCAAGGCACTCTAATTTTGATATTATTTCTTCCTTTCCTGTCTGGCCTATGGCACAGGTTGCTTGCCAGAGTTCCCTTCTGCAAAGCCATGATGCCTATCCATGCCTACCCACAGGTGTGCATTTACATACCCACAGATAAACTAAGCTCATCATTTTGCATTTGCTACAGGTATAACAACCACAACATAAGAGCTGACTCTATCCAGAAGGTGCTGCCATCTGAGAAGCTTTCATCTTGAAAGGAATGTTTACACTGCTATTATTAACAGAATGGAAAAGCTCCCAAGATGTACAGTATGATATGATTGTATTCATCATACCTTACATTTCAACCACAAGATTAAGAATCCATCCTGCCTACACAACCACAGTATTTTAAAATAAAAAATAAAAAAGCAAATGAAAATTGCCAAAAATCTCCTTCTTCAAATTTTGCATTTCTCTATCAAGTTGTCTAATTTAACAGTAACCCAATTTCTTTGCACGCATAAGAAAGCTAACTAACTGGAATGAGGAGTTCAAATGCATAATTTCAGCTGGGTTAAAGACTATCGCAGAGTTTAACAAGAAATTTCAAGACGCTGTATCTAGATACTGCACACATCAAAACAAGTTAGAAGTATATGCGTTATGCAGAAGAAATAAAAAAGGCATACTGCACTTAACTGTCTGCTGGTCTTGCTAGGCAACTGTACAACAGAATTTGTGCAAAATTCAGAATTACATATAGGACGTATCTTCAGATGAAAGCTTTATCACAATTACATTATAGATGGGATGGCTATACTGTGCCAAAAACATATCTTAAATTATTTCCTTTAGATTGGAATTGGATTAGAAACTCCACATAAGAGGACAGAAATCCCTGCAGTTCAAATAAGATTCTACATACTACGTTCTATCTAAATAACCAAAATGTTCAAAATCTGCTTTCCAGAAGCCAAATTAAATTTTTATTTCGGGACTGGACAGGAAGCACAAGGAAAGTATCTACTCTCAGTTGACTGCTTTTCTCCTCACATTTATTTCACCAGTGTCAAATTCTCCTTTATAAATCACAGATTTTCACATTTTGCACTTTACTGCTGGAATCCTAAGCACAAAAAAAGTTTCTTTTTTATAAAGCACATCTGTTTTTCAAGAATTCTTTATAGCTAGAATGTTCTGTATTATGCTTGATTCTTGAAATTATACTTTTAAGTTTAAAGACATACATGGGTGAATGCAATATATTTACAAAAATTTTTCTTTATATCCAAGTATCATACCTGTGTGAAATATTTTCCATCTTGTTTCAAGACTTTCATCGAGAGATCAAGAATCAATCGCAGAAACTCCCACGTGGAATCTGCATATAGAAAATGATCCGAAATGAAAACAAAGCCTAGGGGGAATACTGGTGGAAGTGAATACTTCTGTTTCAATGTAGCATTATTTCCTGAATATTTTATCAAGTATGAAATGGGAGAGGGCAGGTTAATCTGCATAGCTTTGAGTATGCACACTACTTTTATTTTTTATTTTTTTCTTGAATACTATAAAAGTGGTACGTGCATTCTCTGCCTAAGATGTAGTACTAAAAGGCAAAAATTAAACTAGCTTTGATGCAAATTGTTAGTTAGTTAGTATGGAATACAGCATCAGAAATGCATAAAGTCCTCAGAAATCTGGGAAAAATAAATTAGATTAACCTTCTTCTGGAGATGTGGAGATTGGAACAGCTGTCAGATCATTAATTACATAATCAAACATTCTTCCTTCTTTGGCATACCTCTTCAATACGGGAATACAGTCTTCAATTAGGACCTGAAAGAAAGAATATCATAGCTAATTCTCATAATACCCTATAACTGACCAAATAAAGGAACAACTAAATATGGGTTTACTATAATTAAGCTTAAAAAAATAAAATTGGGTTTAAATTCATGCTCCATTTTCAGTTTTTTACATCATGTAAAAAAAGAGGTGCAGTTGTGTGAATCGCAACAAGCCTAACGTGCTACAGAACTAAACCTCCTAGCTCTTGTTTCTGATTGCTTCTGATTTCCCCAAATGGGGAAAAAGTTACCAGTTTCTCCAAGGACCCGTAGACTACGTTATTTGGATGAAGGATCACTGACTCATGCAAGGTGGCATGCAGCAACACCTCTTAATCTTTGCATGCCTTTTTTCCCCCCCCACTCACACCTGCAAACTGGTATTTCTGAGACACGTAAGGAACGTTAATGAAAACAGAAAGAAAAGACTTCTAGTAAAAAAGTCAAACTTGACCTGCACATAGAGCATGTGAAAACCTGAACTGCAGGGTCACTTGCATTTTTTTCCATTATAGTAAGAGTGTAATCAGAGATTTTTGACCCAAATTATAAAGCCTTGTATAAAAAAAAGTATCCAGGTACATTCTCAACAGTGTAGGACAACTTAAACATTTTTCTGCTATCTCTTCATCAGCTTAAGAGCTGATATTCAAAACTCTACACCTTTATTGTTACTTGCTCCTCATCTGTGATGGTAGCAGAGTCTCACTTTCACAATACAAAGATTACATATATATATAAATATATATATATAAAATTTTTAATAGTTTGAAGGTGAAGAGTTAAATGTTTTGAAGCTAATGTGTAGTTCCAAATATTATGAATATATACACATCGCATCCCCACCGTCAACTACTGTTATTTAGAAACATTTTGGGAAGAATCCTCTTCCAAGTGAAGAAAATCAAAAGGCTTCCCCCGACACATCCCAGAAGCCTTCCCCACATCACTTTTCCAGAGTAGATTTAGCTGTATTTGAAATGTTCTTTTCAATAAAAGCAGAATAAAGATTACCTGATAGCATTCTCCTTTCAGATTGTCTAAGATATCTCCACATGTTTTACGCATGTATTTTTTACACCCGTCAATCACCATTTGGTCAATGTTTGAAGTTGGTTAAGGAACGTTACATTCCAAAAATTATACAGGTAGCAAATCTTTTTCTTCTCAAAACAGAAATTATAATGGAATAATGAGATATCTAAGTTGCAATTATGTATGAATCCCCAGATTCAGTAATAGGTTTAAGAACTTGTTTTTGTTTCCAACTTGTATTTCTGGCATTTTATTGTTAAAAGCTTGAAATATAAACAATGGGATAGTTACGTTAAAAATAAATCAATAAAACCAAAGCAGGTTAGACTGCATCTTTAAACAATTATTTTTAGTTCCTAGCAAAGCAGGTCCAAAACCCAGGATAATCTAAATTCAAACAACTAACAGTGGGATTATATTTCAAATTATATTTAAACTACAGAATGCTGAAATCTTGATCTCCATCACTATTTTTGTAAGAAGTCATCTTCAGATGAGGAAAACCTAGATCATTCTAGCACTAAGACAATTTGCCAAGCCCTAACATTGTTTAAACTTGCTTTGGTTTCAGATTTTTTTTTCTTTTATAGATCAAGAGTTACAGTATAAATTGGAAACATTAAGCTATTGCACACTTGATATGTTAAAATGAATTATTTGCCATTTTCAAAGGATATCTCTACCATAGTGACCATCTTTGGCTTCAGTTTGACTATCTCATACAGTATACCCCCATCACCACCTCCAAGGATCAGCACTTCTTTCCCAGTGTAGTCTTCTTTTCCACTGCCCATTATGGCTCGAGTATATGCCAGGTCACTCTCTGCCAAATCTGAGTGGAATAAACAGAAAGAAGTGGACAGAAACATTACATCTTGAATTCTTCTCTTTATTAATTGGTGTTAAAGTGGTGATAAAGTGGACCAATGCAGGACCACATATGCAAACAAACCAGTTCTCAGTGAGACAGTTCAGGTACCAGGATATTTTATTTCTGATAATTTACCAGAGCTAATGCAGTGCTGCTCAGAATGACATAGAAGATTCCTGTAGTTCTCACTGCAAACCCAACAGGGCTACATTTGTAAGTAGTGTGGGCCAAGAGAAGCAGACCTGAACAGCAGACTAGTCTGTATTGCCAACTTGGTGTCCACGCCACACCTTGGTGGGCTTTTACCTCAGGCTGGTTTCAGTCTAGTCCCACAAGTCGACTAAACAGCCATTTAGTGCTGGTGTACACATTTCAGTACAGCTTCATCTAAAACAAATCCAAGCTCATGCATCCTGATATCACTCCACAGTACAAACCAAAGTGGAGCAAGAAACAGTCACAAGCTTTTTGCTTAGAAAGCACACTTACGGCAACTAAAAAACTAACATAGATGCATCAAAGGATCCCTGCAAAGAAGAAATACAAACACTAGTACTCAGACCCTGGGGGGCCTTGCAGCAGGAGTTTTTCTGCTTTACTTATTATTTTCAAGCCAGGCAACAACCTTCCTAAGCTGCGATAACAGGTCTGAGCTGCAGGACAAAGCGTTAAGTGGCAGCACAATTGCATATCCTAACATTACACCTGGCAATCAGCACTTAGTTTGCAAGCACACAGTAAGAGAAGCGCTTAGAACTACACTTTTAAAGCCTGTGGAAAACAAACAGAAATGAAGTGTGCCTTTACTTGTAAGGCATGTTGTGACAACGTTCAAATAAAATTTAATTTCCATATGAAACTTGGATGACAGTTTCTGCCAAAGTATGGAATGCCTAATTCAGTTATTTCAGATGCAATTCTAACCAAATTAGAAAATACCTGCTGATGAATTCAATGTAAACAGCACTCACAGCTGCCATCTGCACATAAGCCCCCTTGGCAGCTGCAGAAAGCTAATTAAATAATTGGAGGTATTTTTGGTGGTTTCAAACTGCTGTAGTCAGAATTCTTAATTACTCTCCAATTAGCCTGAAGTCAATTATTCCAGCCCTAAACAGCAACATCCCTCATTTACCTCAGTCACTATTTCTCTGCAGAGACACCAAGGGATTCCACAAAGTATACTCCTTGTTCCCTGAGTTTTCTACATAAAGGGAATAACATTTTTATCCAGCTTTAAAGGACTGAAGCCTATCACTTCATAAGTTCATTTTCAACATACAGAGATCAGCAGACACTGCATACTAGAGGAAGAGAACTTCACACAAAAGGTGGCGTCACAGGTCTCATTAAGCGGGAGTTAAGTTCAGAGTTTTGAAGACAACACAGTTGGAAGATGTTCATCAACAAGCTAACTAGGCTAAAATAGAGCTATTCTAGCTGATCTTTCTGAATTGTTAACTCCATCATTAGCGTTAGTTTATCAAGTCACAACCACAATCTTTATTATTCTATCAAAATGATCATAGCAACATAGAAAACAACATCTCCAACAGTTTCAGGCAGAAAGTCCTCCCCTAGGCAATACTTACTAACATCCCCACTGAGGATAAGTATATTCCCAAACTGTTTTGAATGCAGAATCTTAATATTCTGATATGGTGAATCTTCATCATAAACAACCTCATCTATGTCATACTCTACCAAGCGTCCATCCGCTGTGGGCCAGTATCTATCGATGGTGCCTCCTCTCAAAATGGCTGGCAATCTGGGGGAAGAAAAAGAGAAAACAGATTACAAGACATTGAAGATTTATTTTTTTCATTTCCCTTTTAGCACCCTGTGGGCTCAGGATAATAGATTCATGCTTACAAGTATTATTTCCTTTATTTAAAAACTTGCAAAATTTAATGCTGAAGGGATTTAAAAATCCTATTAGCTATATGTCAAATATACAAAGCTTGCTAAGGCACAATTGAAATATCAGAGATTCTTCTTTATATGCAACTTCTAAAATAAGCGTGTGGATTAATCTCTACCCCAACATACTAGCCTCTGCAAAACAACAAACTCTTGACTTGAAAAATAACGTACAAAAGTACAAAGCAAGAACAGAACAGGGACAAAAAACAGTAACAAAGCCTCTTCCCACATCCAACTCATCTAAGAATGCTGACTCTTTGGGATTAGTGAGCCTGGCTCTTCTGATGTTGTGTTTAGACACAACACTTGACACTCACGCAGGAACCTCAAAGTGAACTATTACAGCATTTCAAACTGAGTAAGGTCACACTTACACTGTATAAGCAACATACATAAGATATACCCATGCATAAAGCCTTAGTTGGTAGTTTACATTTAAAATATGTTTCAAGCATCTGGACAAAAAACAGTTTCTTTGCATTCTTTTTGAACTCCAAATACACATCTGGTTCAAAGACAAAACAGCTTTGAAATAGAAATGTCTGTTCAAAATGACTGCATCTATTTTTATGCAAAACATGCAGACAAAAAGCTCCCCACATGTACACAAGTTCTGAAAATCCATTTTTTTGCAAAGGAGGATGCGGTGGGCAGCAGGACATGGAAAAGCTCCTTTGGATTTCCTAACAACTCGGAAATGTTTTGTACCCTCAACAAGCCACAAGGTGGCAGCACATGGGGAAAGCGAGAGCAGATCTGCCACCAACAACAAAACGGCAGCAACGCTTCGCAGCGGCACAACACAGAGCTTCGCTACAACTAAAAACACTAGAAGAACACAAAGCAAAAGAAAAAGTTGAGGGCTTGGGAATGTATGTTAAAGAACTCTTTCCTAATCTACCTAGGGGGTCTGTCTTCTTATACTGAAGTAATCACATTTATCTGGATCGCTTGAGGTAGACTTTGCTCTTCTAGCCGTTTAACAAACTCCCATTATCATCTATTTCAGTAACAAATATCCTCAGAAAGCAACCTCTGCGTCTGCTGCATAGGAAGTGATCTACATCTGCATACACTGCTACAGGTGATGATTCACCTGGCTGAGGAGAGCAAAACAGCTGCTGCTTTGTGGTTTACATACAGGATTCTTGTTAAACACCAAAGGCAGTATTTACTTTCTCATGTGTAACATGAGTTTGCAAATCACTATCACTTTATTTGCACCTTCAGATAACCTTCTGCTACAGCACTATTTAGCTGTTGTTCCGTTACAGTTTGTTCCCTCTTGCAAAGTTTCTGCGCTTAGTTTTATCTTCTTCATTTTTTTACATAAAAACAAGATTCAAAAGATCACTTCCATTTCTGAACAGATTCTCTAAAACACCTCTGGCATCTCCTGTCAGGTTACTGGAACAAGTGCTCCTGCTCCAAGCAGCTGGCAGCTGCCAGTCAGTAGGAAGGCACTGAAGTGAGTTCCATACATCCCTTCCCTACCCTAGGCAACTCCGTTAGGAAGGCTTTCCTAGGGACAATCAACCATCTGCAGAGAATATCCCCAGAACTTGATATATAGCTTTGTACTTAAGTAAATCAACATGACAGAAGACTTGCATGATACAACATGTTATCATCTTCCCTCAATTAAATTAATTTTGAGAGAAAAGCACTGCTCTGTTATAATCCATATCAATCTTCTTGGCAGGGCCCTGAGCGCACACATCCGCTCCAGGGCTTCGGCTGCCCAGAGCTACTGCAGCTGGCAGAGACCCAGCACAGCTGGGGAGCCCTGGTGAGGCTGCGGGAGCAGAAACGTGCGCTGAACCCAGACCATGCTCCTTGGTCCTGCTGCTCTGCCTGGGCCTGCCCACACCTTTCACCAGTCCCCATCTCGGCCTCAAGGCCACACTGTCATTACAGCCCTGCCTCAAGGCCACGGTGGTCTGGCTGAGCCTGGTCACCATCACCAGGCTGGCTCTGCTCATCTTGTTCAGGGGCTGCAAGAGCAGCCCTGAGGGAGAAGTCCCTGTTCCACTGCCACCACAGCCAGCCCTTGCAGAGCTCTTCTGCTTCCTGTCTGCACCAGTGTTGAGGTGCTGCAACCTCACAGAACGGTTGAGGTTGGAAGAGACCTCTAGAAATCATCTAGTCCAACTCCCCTGCTCAGAGACACCCAGAGCACGGGGCACAGGGCGGCATCCAGGTGGGTTTGGAAGATCTCCAGAGAAGGAGACTCCACAGCCTCCCCGGGCAGCCTGTGCCAGGGCTCTGGCACCCTCACAGGAAAAAAGTTCCTCCTCACATGGAAAGTGAACTTCCTGTGCTTCAACTTATAGCCATTGCCCCTTGTCCTGTCACTGTCCACCACTGAGAAGAGTTTAGCCCCATCCTCTCTCCCGTCGGGTATTTGTACATATTAATCAGATCCCCTCGGTCTTCTCTGCTCCAGGCTAAAGAGGCCCAGATCACTTAAGTCTTTTCTCATAGGAGATTTTCAAGTCCCTTAATCATCTTTGTTGCTCTCTGCCAGACCCCCTCTACAATCTCTACGTCATTCTTGTACTGGGGGGCCATTCTTGTACTGCGGGCACCATTTAATGTAACTGCTGCAGATAATGTAAGAAATCAATCCTGCCTAAAACTAGCAGCATTGAAAAACATGCTTAACAACAACCAACTCTGCTGCTACACTTTCAACTGTGCAGTAATAGCATTCTAAAACACTGAGGGGAAAAAAGATACATGCAAAAATTCAGACTCCAGACGACTAATTTGTGCTTTGCTGTACTGCTATAAACTCAGCCTGCTTTTTACAACTGTGCAATGAAATCAAATGTGGCAGTACAGATATGAACTTACCGCTTCACTTTTTTTATATTACCATGAAACAGTTCTTTCATTCTTTCTTCCACTTTGTTTAGAAGCTGAAAAAAACAGCAAACAAGAAAGATGGAATTTATAGAAGTGATCACTTAATGCAGAACAGATGTTCAATTAGGCTATTTAAAAGGCAATAAAGGAGTAGCACCTGCAATAAAATTCTTCCCAATATAATATTAGAAGTCTATCAATAACTAGCTGGTTGCCTCAGCTTTGTTCCTAGCAAATATTTCCACACCACAACAGCTGTCATCATGTTTTTTCACTTAGCTGTCCTCCTAGATAACGTGACTAGACTTTTCAGACACAAGTAAAAAAAGAAGTAAAAGAATCTCAGATAGTTTTGTTCTTCTTTTAATTGAAGAACCGTATCTTGAAATTCTGGAGCTTTAGCAACAAAAAAAAAGATCATATTCTCCCTCACTCCCCCTTTTTGGGGAAAGAAGTTTTAACTATAGAGCCTCCTCACATCTCAGGTTAGAACTAAAAACTAATACACCAACGTCACAAATACTGGACTGAGCATCATGCCTTTCTCATTCCCCTGTATATCTGTAGGAAGCTGAGGTGTCCCTGCATCTTTCACACAGAAGATCACAAGGCCAAGGACATGCAAATGCATATACCCTCATAGATGTATGCAACTACACCAGGTGTTACTACTCCTACTTGAAGTAGGAGATAATTTGATACACCACAAAAAGAAAGGTTCCCATGTTAAGTCTAGCAGGGGAAGCAGCATCCAAACCTGATCAGTCTCTTCTCTTCCTTTTGCATGATCGTTGTAGCTCTGCAGATCCAGCAACACTAGCCCATGAGGATAAATTCTCAAATTGGCAAAGCTACAAAACAAAAGAAAAGCAAAGATAATAATTCTGTTAACAAAAACTACAAGCAGAGAAAAAAGAAAGTCATAAATGAATTATAGCAAAACAAAACTGCATGTTCCTCTTTGTAGCAGTCAGTAAGCTATTGAAGCCACTGATAGTTCCAGCTTCATTTTTACTCAGGAAGTAACCAAGCTTGCTGCAAGCTAAGTTGCAAGGGCAGGCAAATCGCCCTATAACTACTAAATTAGCAAGCAGCAAATCAATAAAACACACAGAACGTTTGAGGTTGGAAGGGACCTCTAGAGATCATCTACTCTACCCCACTGCTCCAGCAGGGACACCCAGAGCATGGGGCGGTATCCAGGCGGGTTTGGAAGATCTCCAGAGAGAAGGAGACTCCACAGCCTCCCTGGGCAGCCTGTGCCAGGGCTCTGGCACCCTCACAGGAAAGAAGTTCCTCCTCACCTGGAGATGGAGCTGCCTGTGTCGCAGCTTGCACCCATTGCCCCTTGTCCTGTCACTGGCCACTACTGAGAAGAGCTTCCTTCCTCCCTACATTCTCCCTTCATATACTTATACATGTTGATCAGATCCCCTCTCAGCCATCTCTTCTCCAGGCTAAACAGGCCCAACTCACGCAGTTTCTCCTCATACGAGAGATGTTCCAGTCCCTTAATCACCTTTGCAGCTCTCTGCTGGACCCTCTCGAGAAGCTCCACGTCCCTCCTATACTGGGGTGCCCAGAACTGCACACAATACTCCAGGTGCAGCCTCACCAGAGCTGAGGAGAGGGACAGGATCCCCTCCCTCCACCTGCTGGCAACACTCCTCCTGATGCAGCCAGGATCCCATTGGCCTTCTTGGCCACGAGGGCACACTGCTCACTCATGGTTAGCTTGGTGTCAACCAGGACTCCCAGGTCCCTCTTCATAGAGCTGCTCTCCAGCAGGTCAGCTCCTAGTCTGTACTGATACCTGGGGTTATTCCTCCCCAAAACAAGTCATTTAAACTAAAACAGCTGTAATGTGACAGGAGCTGAGAGAACAAAATAGACTAGTCTCAGTTCTTTGAAAGAGCCTGCTTGTACAGACTTTTTCATTTTCATTAAATCAAAGTTCAAGAAAAGAAGTAGTGTTCTCTTCCCCCTTCATCTTACTTCTTAGGGTTCAAGTGCAGACAAAAACTGTTACTGCACATATGATTTATTAGAGCAGTGTTCAAAGATCAAAGCTTTGTCCTGCCAGTTAGCGCACGCACGAGACCGCCCATGAGTGTTTGTGGGGACAAGTGGAGGACTTTGAGGAACCTGTTTTCTTTGTTTGCAAAAGATAAGGAGTGAAGGAAACACACACACACACGAAAGTTGCAAAGGTTATAGCCATTTTACATTGAGGAAGGAAAAAAAAAATGAAAAGAGGCTACAAAGAAACCAGATAAGGGAGCAAGACTAGGAGAGACATGCTGAAAAAAAATACAATGGGAGGTTATGAGAATGGTAAAAAAATGCTGCAATAATACAGGGAACCAAGGGTGAGTGAGTCTTTAGCACAACACAGAGAAATCACAGCTAAAGCTCTAAACACTTCTCCTGAAGTCCTCCTTTCCCTGCTTTTCTGCTCTCACACCACTTGGCCTCAAAGACAAAAAGCAAACTACGTCAACTTCTAGTAAGAAGATGGCAACTTTTGGTAACTATGATGTGATCAGGCTAAGCCAGATGAAAGGGACCAGAGCAACTCAGAGATATAAACATTTTTATTGCACTGCTGAAGACCATAACTTGTTTTGATGATCTGTAGCTGTGATTTAAGTTAGCACAAAGGAAAAAAACAGAAGTGCTCCTACTTCAGAAGGGCCTATCCAGTCTCCAACTTCCCTAAGGAGTTTTTTGTTTGTTTGTTTTAAATAAACATAGGTCACACCTCCAGAGAAGAGGTTGCCTTTGGAGAAAAAGTATTTCTACACCATACACATACTGGCGGCATGTTTTCTCTCCTATACAACTGCTATTGTCATTAACATTTAGAGAACTTAGCTACATTTCAGAGGTTGTCCACTAGATGCCCTCTTTCCAAAAATTTTTCATTTCTTCCCCAAAAAAATCTCTAATAGCAATTAAACTATACCTCAGGACAGCCACATAAAACCAGAAAATTACTATCATTACCAGGAAATTATACCTGAATTAAATATCTTACTTTACCCCAAAGAAATGGTGTACAGAGAATAGTCAAGTAGTAAGTACAGGCTTTTGTTCTTTTAATATTGTCATCACTTCAGGAAACAGTTTTGCAAGTTAGTTTATTCAGTAAGTGTATAAATACTTCCAGCTTTCAAGACAATTCTAGAGCAGCTTTTCATTTCTTTGACAAGCTATTTTCGACTGGATTTAGGGGCACCTGTCCAAAGCTGTTGTTCTCCTGCCAAACACCAAGACTTGGTAGAAGAAGCTGAAGTTCAACAGGTAAGAGCCTTACTTGGGTGTTTAGGAAGTCATATCTGACTTGCTAGTAGTCAACAACACTCTTCAGTACTTGTGTCACTAAACCTACTACTTAATGTAAGTAATATTAGAGCAAATGTTGCACAGCCAGCCCAGGTATACTTGAGGCAATACCCTGAGGCCAAGACACTTTCTCAGAGGTAAAGTGATGCTGTTAGAAGAAAAAACACCCTCACACTAGCAGAAGCAATAAGGGCTAATTAGAAAATAAATTGGGCGTCATAAAAGAAACAAAGGCTAGAAAAGCAGGAGGAAGACACAGGCACTAGATATGGGGAATAAGGAGGAAAATCAAATTCCATGTCAAATTTTTGAAAGCAGTTTTCAACCTTCTCTCTCATTTTGTTTAAGTGACTTTATTGCCAGAAAGCATTTATTTTGTAACAGGCACAATAGCAGAAAGAAAAGCACTCTTACTAATTGTAAGAACTTGCCTTATCACAGGACTCCAGGACAGCACTCCTTTATTTAAGGAACACCTAAAGAGAACCACAGAGATCCACTCCATGAAAGCACAGGTACTTCAGCAGGCTGTAGAAACAGCCATTCACAGCGAAAGGGTGCAGTTCTAGCAAAGCCAGTGGCCTTGCTCCAGGCTCTGAAAACCACCACACTACAAAGGGAAACTCACATTTACAATTCATTGGCTGGGACTGTCATTAACCTGCCTGAAATCTGGCACAACACCAGAAAGCCAGCACTGTTAGAAAGGGCATCTTATCAGTTTATTCTGAGACCAGTGGTTGAGATTTACCAGGCCATGTAACATGCCAGTAACCAGTCTGCAACAATCCCATGACTTAAGTTCCCCTTTAAATTGAGAGGTCTTCTCATAAAAGGAGCATCACAGAGCTGTCATGTGATTTGACAGCTGATACTGCCTTTACTGCTGCTGTGACTGTGCAATCAGTAGATGGCAATACTGGGTTTTGTGGGTAGGGAAGCAAGGAGAAGCAGAGGAGCGGGTTGCTTTAAAAAGCACAACAGAACTTCTTTTTATGTGATAGCAACAGAATGTAAAGACACAAACACTGTAGAATCATTATTTAGTCTGATTTTTAACTCCACTGGAAAAATAGATCCTGAAATCTGCATCAAGAAGGATACAAAGTATACAGCAGACTGGAGGAGCAAAATGGGGCAGTAACTTAATACTGAGTCTCTTTATGCAGCTAAATTGTAGCAAAACAAGTATGAGTTAAATGGAAGAACAATGCAAACTAAATAAAATAAGATCCAGGGTAACCAAATCAAGGTTACTTTGGTCAAAAGTTACCTGGTTGAAAATCCACCACCTAAAATAAACTAGAAAGTCTATAAAGATTTAAATATGCAGCATATAAACCAGCATGACTGTGCATTCAGTTGACAATCAGATTAGTGCTGTTGAGGCAATAGGGACAAATTGAGGCTGAGCCCACAAAAGACGTTTTAGTTTGAATGAGGGCAAAGGCTTTGACTTCTGTTACTTCCCATTTATCTAGTCAGCAGAACATGTGTCAAGGCAGCTCTTCAGCAGCAGGTCTCTCTGAAAACTGTCAATCTACCTATGAAATTCAGAGGAAAATAGAGAGTTCCATCATTAATACTCCCCTCTATATTTTGTCTGACTGAAAAAATAAAAATCCTGGCTTCAAGACATCAGTCATATTTTGGGGACATGCTTGCCTCTGACTTCAGAGAAATGAAGAACACTCCCAGTACAAGGAGAGCCCCTCTCTCCTTCCTGTCTTCACCTGAAGGACTGGCTGGCACAGCACCAGAGCCCCACACATGTTAGATTTGCTCACGTGCCATCTTTCATCTTTCACTGTAACACTGAGGGAAGGTTTTGTTTGTATATAAACTTAGTACAGTGATTTAGTTACTGGAATGCTGCACTGAGTCTTTAAAATTCTTCATCTTGCTACCCAGAGCAAAAGGGAACATCAGATATCAAGAAGTTAACCCTAACTTCATGAGTTAAATAATTGTAACACAGAGAAATTCAAATGAGCATCTGTTCAATTTAAAGGTTTTTTTTTTTTTGCATCCTATGCAAACGACAATGTATAAAGGAATATAAAGTCCTGCAATTTCGCATACTTGAAACACAGAATTGAAAGTTGTCCTTTTTTCCTTTCTCTAAGAGAATTATACTGTACAGTAAGACTTATAGCTATCCAGCCCTCTTCACCCTACTTGAGCTTGTATATACTGACAGACTAACTTTGAGTCATGACAGAGTATTTTAGGCATTTTGAAAAGAGTCTGCCATGAAAAAAAAAGCTCTATCAATTTACACATAATGAGGGGAGAAGTAGAGTGTAGATGTGTTTATACTGGACAATCCCAGTATAAAAGAAAAAAAGAAAAACACTATGGTGTTACTTTAATAATGCATATGACATCTCTCTTTATTAGCACTTTTCATCTCAAATTCCAAGTGCCTAAAGGACCTTAAAAAGAATTAAGCATCCACAGTCTTTCACTAGACTGTTATTCCTGTTCGCTTTTTACCTAGCAAGGA